TATATATATATATATATCGTAATATAGATCGCATAATTATCATGTTATTATGTATTAATAAATCAAAGAAAAGATTATCGTCCACATTTTTTTATATAAATATTTTTTTACAATATACATTGGTGATTGTTCAATGCTGAATTTGTTTTCTATACAATATTGATTTTTTTTCTAAAAATTATCTATTTATTACATTAACAGTTCATCCTATTTCTCTGTTTGTTGCTAATGCAAGCGTCAAGTTGAAGCTTAATGCTATTAGAGATGTCGATGTTGACATTAGGGGGAAAGGTGGGTCTTACATCTCTCGACTGAAGTAGTTTTATTTGCTGTAAAAGTTACACTAATTGTTTCGAGGAAAGTCGACAGGCATGAACAGCTACGCCGTCACTGAAACGGTTAATTGCAGAATGCGTCAATTAAACGCACTTCAGAATCAAAGCACATGCGGGCTTCGCGTATCTCGGTGACGATCGAAAGCTTGCGTATAACTTGGCAAGAGTAAAGTGACAAACTCGAATTCGAGCAACTGAACGAGTAGTAGTTGGGATAATTGCAACGGTACATAGACAGCAGGAGAGGCAGAGACGCTGTGGGCTTTTTAAGTATTCACTATATCTTTGCATATATAATGTCAATACTTAGAGTATTAAAAAATTAATTATTAAGTGAAATATCGTTTATTTGTACTAGTCTTTGTCTAAGACAAAATTGTAATTACTGAATAATTTAATATTAAATATTTTAATCAGATAAATTGACAAGTAAAATATTAGTTGTTTAATTCTCCATTTAAAGAATTTTTACTAAAGAAAAACTATTCAAGAGTCTTTATTTAAAGATCATAATTATTTTGGAAATAATATTGTACAAATTTGCTTCCTTGAAAAATAAATGAAGAAAAGGAAAGATAAAGTTAAGAAATATGTGTGTGTGTGTATATATATATAATAGAATTATAGTTTTCATATTTTCCACCAATATATAGTTATTATTTATTTTTGTGATATTGTATATATTTTATCATATATAGTATTGTTTTGGAAAAGAAGGTGGCATAAAGAAACAAGTGGTTGAAGAACCAATATTTGCATCACCGTCATACGTGCCGAAGAATCCTGTTTTCGATCCTAAAGGGGGATCTTTGAAGTCTGAAAATATTCTAAAACAAAGAATCATGTAATCAATTTTTTTTAAAACTTTTTTCTTATTGTAATACATTTATTCAATTTTCAAATAAACGCAACTGAGATTATTATTTTTATCGAAGTTATTGAATTTTATTATTTATTTACTACATATTCTCATCATAGTCCCTTCATAAATGATAAATGCAATTCTTTGCAAAGTTAGTATAATATTGCTATCAATAAAATAAGATTTTCAACATAGATAAGATATTTGGAATATTGAGCAATAGCCGGGGATATACAAATATTCACATATGAAAGAATCAAAGACGGAAAAAGACACCGTTTTCTCTCTGCGCGTTTTCTATTCTGAAATTTCTTTTGATGTCACTTTATAAGGTGGCTTGGAAAAATTGACCTAGGCTCTTCTCTCATGCTGAAGCTCTTAGATGAGATTTAATCAGAAAACTTCGGGGATGATGGGACACTTTCCTTCTTCTTTAGTGTCCATTGTTCGACTTTTGTCAAAGTGCTTCTTCGTATTTCATTTTGTACCCATTTAGTTCAGCTAGGAATCTTTTTGCGCGAAAGAACTTTTCGCTATGGGATTAGATGTCCTTTCGCCAGATTTATCTCATTTAAAGATTAATTTATTTCTCTCCCTTTTTTTTCTTTATTTCTTTCGACATGTCGTAACATAAAAACAATAAAATATCATTTTGTCAAAATTTATAAAATTTTCTATATTTGCGATATTTTTTGACAATATTTTTTTTATGTATTATTGAATATTATAAATATAATTTTGTGTAACAAAATTAAGTTTTAAAATATTTACTTTGTGTTATAAACTAAAACTTTTAAAAAATTGCTTTTATTTTTTAATTCTTTGTTTCTGTAGAATAATTTGCATTGTTTATAAAAAATCTTTTGGATTTACGCGTTAATGACTGTCTTTTTGTTAAAATTTTTGTAATATCGATTGATCTCCATTTACAACATACAGCTTCCTGTTATTTAAATTCATGCATCCCTGCAGCTAGTATGACAATCGAGCTTATCTTCTATAGCTTCCCTTTATCGTGAATCAGGTGATTTCGAATAGCGAGAGTGCATAATCGGCTTGAAGAAAAGTGTGTGAGAGAACCGTCTTATATTTTCGTTTTACTACATAGATGGCTCTTTGTACGTGCCACTCAGGAAACTCGTAACACGTGATGAGAACGAAGGCGACAGCCTTCCATGAAATCTTTGTTGCATAAAAGACTGAATATGAAATAATAGAAGGAGAAAAATGTGATCAGAATTTTTCATTTTAATTGTAAATTAATCGTAAATATTTGAACAATTGCAATGTTTATATAAATTCTACAAAATTTAACATAAATCTGTTCAGAGTATTTCTATAACAATTCGCACATATCATATAAACATAAGTGTACAAACAAACACGAGTATAATGGAAACTTTATTGCCAATAATTACATCAATTTATTTATAAAAGATAAAAATATTTTAGTGGAATTTCTTGAACAATTTGTTTTTATCAATAAAAATTATAATCAGTGTAGAATTTTATTTAATTAGATTACACGTTGAGATAGACTTGTCTCTTATTTTACAATATCAAGTTGAAATTTTTAATTATATCACGATATAATTCCGTACAATTAATTGCATTACAAATTAACAGACGTACGCACGTAGAAGACTTATCTTTCCTCTCTTAGAAAGCAAGTATAGTAATGGTTCGTTCAACGAGACTCACTTGACGACGAATCGAGCGAGTCGCTGTACGAGCTTTCGAACGTGAGAGTGCTTCTTTTAGGGGGAAGCGAAAGGAGAGTGAAACAGGTGCAGCACTTAAATGAAAGGCGTTAATTGACGAAGGAGTTCATTTTCTTTCTTACATCTTTCGCTAAAACGAAACCAGCCGCCAGTTAATAGGCTTGCTCTTACAAGTTTCTTGAATCCCATCTGTTACGAACAAAGATGATCTTTGTGATGTTTGTTTCTTTCAGTTCAGTAACAGATAATAAATAAAAGTGAACAGTCAAATTGAATATAAAAGCGTTATTATGTTGTGAGAAATAAACGATTCTTTCGTTTAGTTCAAATATAATAACTCTCTTTTTTCTCGATTTTTGACACATACAATTCTCGAAAATATTACAAACGAAGATTGTTCGAATATTACAAATAAAAACAGTTTAATGATCGCCTTCTACACAATTAACCAAAATACGTTTTGTATGAGATACAAATATAATCGAAAAATATGAGACAATAAATTAAGGTTTACATTCATAAAAGAGAAAAATATTCGAGTGAAATTTCTTGAACCATTTATTTTTATTATAAAAATTATAATTAGTGTAGAATTTTATTTAACTAGATTATACATTGAGATAGACTTGTCTCTTATTTTACAATATTAAGATAAAATTTTTAATTATATCACGATATAATTCCGCACAATTAATTCCATTACAAATTAATAGGCGTATGCATGTAGAAGACTTATCTTTCCTCTCTTAGAAAACAAGTAATGGTTCGTTCAACGAGACTCACTTGATGACGAATCGAGCGCGGAATTTACAATTGCCAAATCACGAAGACATAGAACATTAAAAATTATATTTTAGCTTTTTTAGCATCTATTATATATATGTATAGCATAATTTTATAATTTCGTTAATAATTATTGATGAAATTCAGTAGTTTTATTTATGTTCTTTTATTTATGTTCTTGACTTGT